CGACGTCGAGGGTTGCAATCCCGTTGCCGGTCCCCGGTCCGGTACGGGGGCAACACTGAGGGTTGCGATCCGTTGCCGGACACGGAAAAAGACAAAAAAGACAAAAAAAAAAAAAAGAATGTTCATTCTATAATATAAAACCCCTTTGCATAATAAACATCTCTAGGTGGTGAGATTCTACGTGACTTTTCTTTGGTTTCTTTAAATTTTTCTGTACTTTCCAAATTCTTTACAAGTATTACTTTGCTCTTTTGGAGGGAAAAACAGTTTTAAAAGAACTAGTTTAGGGCTGGTCAGTTAGCTCAGTTGATTAGGGCCGGTGTTATAACACCAAGGTCAAGGGTTTGGACCCCATACTGGCCAGCCACCAAAAAAAAAAAAAAAAGAACCAGTTTAAGTTTTCCATTAAGTAAAATATTATTCAAAAAGAAAAACCAAGGATTTTTTTCATCCTGATAATTAATGAATAGCACCAGAACATACACACACAAATCTGAGCATTAATTTAGATCAAAGAACAGGGAGACATCATTTATAAAGAATGAAGAATATTTATAATATACATAGAAGGTCAAAACCTCAGAAATGAATGTTCTAAATTCTGAATTCTGCTAGTTAACCACTGAGTTGGCTTCCACCTAATTAAAGATGTTTTAACTGATATCCTGCCCTTTGGTTGAAGACTGAGCTCTCAAATGCTAAAGGAAGAGTTCTGTATGAATCCCAGGTTGAGGGCAGCAGTGAGAGGGTTCCTCTCCTCTAGGGCTTACAAGCCTGTAAATGAATCAAGCCTTCCAATGCAGGACGAATGACCAGGAGATGCAGGATTTCTTAACCCTGTTTATCCCAGGCTGTTTGCATCAGACATTTATGTCACATTTTTTACAAGTGTAGAAAACCAGCAGGAGGTTCAGAAATGCCAAATACTGATAAAATATGCCTCTCTCCCTTTTTTTTTTCCTGACCGGTAAGGGGATCGCAACCCTCGGCACAGTGTGGTCTGCTCCACGCTCACCCAGTGAGCGCACTGGCCATCCCTATATAGGATCCGAACCCGCAGCCTCGGCACTACCAGCGCCACACTCTCCCGAGTAAGCCATGGGGCCAGCCCCAAATATGTCTCTTTTTAAACAATGTCACAACATCTGCACCCAGCCAGGCAATGACCCAGCCACCACCGGCAGCCCCCAGTCTCCCCTGTGTGAATGAAGGGGGTGCCACAGGCCTCAATTCCGCCCCTCCTCCTTCCTCCTTCTTCCAGCCCATTTCCTCCCCCTTTCCCCTCTCCCCCTCCCTCCCTACTGCTCCACATCATAGAATGTAAAAAAATTAATAATATTAATAAAAAATAAAATAAATAATGTCACATGTCAAATTCGATGCAAAATGCTTTTTATGCAACCTGAATTCAAATACTAAGAGTTCTCCTCCTTGCTTTCTAAAAGAACAAACCAACTTCTTTGTAATCATGTAACTCTTGGCTTAATTCTTCACTTCCATTTCAGAGAAAACAATAAAAGTAGGTTAGCATACCACAATACTACAAACATACCATAACACAGAACACTTACATGTCTTGGAGTGTTCATGTGATAGCATGTAATTGGCGAGAGGCGGAGTGTAGGTTAAACACTGTAATGCTGCATTGGCAAAACAGGTATTGCCCAAATTTTGGAGCCCAGCTCCAACTCTATGAGTTTGTTGCCACTTAAGACAAATCTTCTCAGATGGGAAAAGAACTTTTTGTGGAGGAGCAATGCCATCACCTAGGGCTAGAAACATAAACAACAAATATTTCAAAATAAAGCTTTGCATGCTTCTGAAGCTAAATAAATAGCAACACTTTATCCAACCTGAATCTGATCAACATTCTACATCTCATTACCAACTTACTAGAAATACAGGGGAGAAAGAAACATTTTAAAGGACTGAACCCAGAATGTGAGGAACTCTAAATAATATGGTTTCTACAATAAATAAATTGCAAGGACAAAAGGATAGAGGGTTACGGATTAAAAGAAACTTGAGATATAGCCACCAAATGCAAAGTGTAGACCTCATTTAGCTGTTGCTTTGAACAACTGTTAAAAAAATATCATATGCCAATCAGGGAAAGTTGAACATTGACTGGATTTTTAATATAAAGACATTTTTAATTTTTAGAAAAGAATTCTTAAGATATATACACTAAAATATTCATAGATGAAATATGAAGTATTGGATTTGCTTTAAAAGAATGGGGATGGGGTTAGTGGGTGGAGGTATAATTGGCCGTGAGTTAATAAATGTCAAAGTTGGCTGATGGCTACATGAGAGTTCATTATAATTACTCTTTTATATCTACTTAAAATTTTTCATAATAAAAAGTTTTAAAACTAAATAAACAACAATACAATCAATAGAAAGTGCAGGATAAGTTGACCCTTATAACACTGCCTATGGATGTAGTTCATACTCTTCAGTACCACCACCATCACTGTTGTCTTTACCATCCTCTCACTTATTGAGCCCTTACTAAATGTCACATGGTCTCAATTCTAATAGCTGGTACTGATGTCATCTCCATTTTACCAGTAAGGAAACAGGCTTTCAACTCAGGCCGTCGGGTACCTCTTCATACAGTTTTAAGCATACTATATGTGGCCTAAAAAGGTTTTTATCTATTTTTAAGACTAATAACTAAGTATGCTAATAGAACTCAGGAGAAGCTCAAGAAACAGCTTATTCAGGAAAGTTCAAAACCATCAACAGCAAGACTATTTTTTCAAAGGCTTGCCTGTTCCTCGGGGCTTAGAAATGCTGAGAGGGCCCTATAGATGGTTCTCTATTTGGACAGAGACATTAATGATAATTTACATATGCAAAGGTAAGTTTCGGCTTTGTGGGGAATGGAGAGCAAAATTAGGAAAAGAGAAATGAGTCTGTAGAGAGTGGGACAAGAGCCTCAAGAAGAGGCAGAGAGGGGAGATGTGAGTTAAGTCCTCAGGGAGAAAGAGGAGCCCCAGCAACATGACAGGAGGCTGGAGCCTGTGGAGAAAGAGATCCTGTGGGAAAAGTCTTGCTGGTGAAGGAGAGGAAGGACTTTAAACCTCTATGTGTAACATTCAATTATGTTGTTTGTGTTTTGTGATATAACTCTTTCCTCACCCAAAACACCTTCATCAAACCACACCTCCCACTCCCACAGCACAAAATCAAATTTACTAAGAGGACTCAAAACAATATGAGAGTGAAATTATTCTAAACCAAACAATGTTCGAGTAGGAACTAATTCTATTACCTTCTTTGCATTTCAAATCTTCAAGTCTTCAAATCAAAAAATGTTAGAAGTATTAACTAAAAGTGTCAATGTCTCATTTATCTGGATGAGTTTAACAAATGTAACCATGTTTATATTATTTTAACAAATGTAGCATTTATCTTATCTGCTCTTTCGAAGAGTTTATTACTGCAGATGATTTTTAATTGGCTAAAAAAAAGCTAGGTAGAGTCCATTTGTCAAAAAGCAACCATTTAAAAAAACATCTTTAAACTTTTAAAAGACTGACATCTACTTAGGGAACTATAATAACTACTGCTTAATTGACAAGTTAATGTAATGCTTGCCCATCTAAATTCTCACCAAAACAAAGTTTATCCTTCAAAAAATTAGGAGAAAAAAAAAACAACAACTAATATCCCAGTCAACAAATTTAATCTACCCTGTTGTGATATGTATGTCAATTATGAACAAGTAACAGGAAAATGAAACCCATCAAACAATGCAACTCTGCTGGCCACTCAGGTGACAAAATGTCTTGCAAAATATAAGCTCCTCTCTAAAACTAGCAAACCACTGATAGCATTTATACAAGAGTTTCTGGCAGTGATTCTATCTTTTAGAAAAATAATACCTTGATCCTTTTGTGGTGACAGCTTTGATTTATCAGGTACAGGTGAACTCGAATAAACTACAGCACCAGGTACTGGTCCTAACGAAAGTGTGTGATTTGAAACATCATTTAACGAAGACACAGCACCCCAGCTGGCAGAACCTGCATCCATGTCTCCAGGTGAGACTGCCTCAGAACTGCCAGGCTGATTCTGATAGGCTGACGGGTCTGAAGATTCAGAAGCTTTGTCAACTATGGTCATTGTTCAACTCTGCAAAAGATGAAAATATACAATTGTTTCATAAGGTGAGAAAAGTAATCTACTTAACCTACCATTAGGTCTTGGAAAATTATTCTAGCTATTTTTAATTATTTTCAAACAAATCATCCAATTATAAAAACAACAGTATTTTCTAACACTTTTGTAATAATTTCCTTAGGACATTTAGCATCAAGCTAATCTGCATGTGTCAACAATTTTTATTTTAATATCTTAAATAAAGTATTTGATTACAAGAATTTCTCATTCTATTCCATGCCCCTAAAATCTGATATTTCCATTTATAACAGGGCACCTCAATTTCCAATTCTCTATATTTACTAAGTACTTATTTTTCTCCTCTCTATTTCTTTTTTTTTTTTTTTTTTTTTTTTTTTTTTTTTTTTTTTTTTTTTTTTTTTTTTTAAAA